TCAATAATGAAACTGAAACAGTGATACTTTATGTTTGGACATTTATAAATTGAAGTTAATAGCATTCACTCAGAATAATAGTTAGAAAGAACTTAATTTAATTTAACCTAATAAATAATGAAACAGAAGCAGCGATGAATAATTAAATAAATAATACCAAGAAACTTAAGTGGTGAGATATCATTTGATTACAGAACTCCACTGGCTTCAAATATATGCATATGGAAACAAAGTCAACCTGTATAATGCGCTCAATTACAGGCGCCCATTCTCATGACTTGCCAGACTTGAATCAGAAAAAATTCTGATGTGATTTGCAATATTAAACTTTAAATTACTAACAAAAAAATTGATAATAAAGGAGAGAACCAAAGTTAGAAACACCGCATTAGCTATGAGTGAAAAAAATAAAGATGAGGAAACAAAGCATGACACTCAGGCCAAGAAGGGCTGTTCAAAGTAAAATGCATTTTCACCCCCTATGGAAAAATGGTGAGGAACTATTGTCGTTAACAAGTGAATCAACATTCATATGAATAAAACAAGATTCCAAGGCATCGAGATGAGCTAATGTGGAAATGAATGACTGAGGTGGAAATGATTTTGACAATGTTGAAATTGAATTTATGCCAAAGATTCCAACAATGTGCAGAAATTGATGATTTCTTGTATTCTTCTTAAGTCTAAATTTAAAAGCAAGTCTGGTTTGTCTGAGGTAGACAAGGTAAATGGCAAAAACCTCAGCGATTTCCTAAACTAAAAAGATCTTTAAGAGACGTAAATTTAATTTTATTTACAAACCAAAAAATGATTTTTAAACCAAACCGGGGGTAGATATAAGATATAAGCAATTATATTACAATCAGGAGAAAAAGACGGTTAAGTAGCAAGTTGACTGTAAGGATTAAAAAAATGAGAGACGTTTAAGTTTAACGAATTTAGGAATAGGTGAATCAACTATAATTGGGGTGAAATTCAACTATAATAGGGTTAGCAAACGGTAGGAAGTTAAATTCGGAGTTTAAAGAAGAAGAGTCAGAGCGTGTGCGGAAAACAAAAGCATAGACTGCAGAAATTTCCTGAACACGAGGGTGATTAGACTTAACAGAGGGTGACAAAGAGACGGCAAAATGCTTACAATAAACATAGGTGGAAAAATGAACAGGATGTTTAGTTACAAGAATATCTTAAAAAGGTAAAGTAAAGTTTATTCCCGCATCTAATGTAAATTGAATATTGGGATCAATCGAGTTGACTACAGAAAGTAACTCTTGAATATCTGTATCACTGCTCACTAAAACAACCGTACCATACATATATCTTTTCAACCATAGAGAATTTGAAAATTTTAATTTTTTTCTCGAAATAATGCATTAATATGTCGCAAAGAATGGGATAGAGGGGGTTCCAAACCTTCAATTTGTCTATAGAATTTACTGTAGAATTCAAAAGCATTTTGCTGAACAAAAGAATTGACGAGAGAGATATTATTAAAGCCAATGAAATCTTTTAATCAAGCAACAACTAATAATTGATTACTTTGATAGTTCTGTAGATGACTATCAAAGTAAACTTAAACTCGCTAATAATGATGCAGCATTCATTTTTATTGTAGAAAATGCTGTTCAAACGCGCTAATTCTTCGCATAACATAAAGATGTAAACGAGTTTCATATTTTTAATGACAATGCGTATTTTTAAAGTGCATTAAAATCTTTTATGCCTTTATAATGCTGCAATGTTTATTGTAAGAATGTATAAATTTCAAATTTCAAATCATAAATTTAGTTCAGTTATGCATTGATTTTAAGATTTTGGTTCTCGAATTTACAATTTGTGATTTAATGTGCTAGCAATCGGAAATCAAGGAAAACGTCAATTAAATTTCTTTAATACCTCTTTTGAATAGCGAATTTTTTCTCCTTTTTGTGATTTTTTCATGTCTCTGTACCAAATAATCTGTTGCAAGTTTTTGGGTTTTCAATTTTTAATTTTTTCTTAATAAAAAGAGAATTTTAAAATTTTAATGATTTTTATTTGGAGTTTGTTTTAAGAAACAATAAATTTACATTGTAGTAAAAAAAATTTAAATTGCAAAAATGAGATAAATAAAAAGACACTTAGTTGAAATAAAAAGTAACATCATAAACATAAAGTAAGCATGTCTTAAAAAAATCCCATTTCAAACTGCATGATTTTTGCTTCGATGTTTTGAAGGCATGTTTTTGCACAGTTGTGATTGAGGTTTCTTACAAAGCATCGTGTTTTTTTTTCTATTTTTTTCTTTTTTGCATACTGTATTTTGCATGCATATGTAATTGCATGTGCTTGTTTATAAAGATGGTCAACCACACGTTTTATAAATTGAATGATCCACACTTCAGCCTATTTTAACCAGTGTTTAGATTTCCCTTTACTTATAAGCCAGAAAACCAGCCGTATGAATTTTTTGAGAAATTTTTTCCAATGATATGGAATTTTTGCTAATGAATATATTTATATATTCCAATGCTCATGTAAGACGATTCCATTCCTTTTCTATGTTATATTAAATATAATGTTTAGTGTATTATTATGTATACAATACTGTTGTTTCTTTATTACAAGAAGTAAATAGAGTGGTGAATTAAAATAATTTACTTTTTGTTAATTAAAAGAAAAAACTCAATAAATAATTTATTATTAAATAAGACTTATTCAAATACAACAAATATTAATAGTGATTTTAAAAAGAAAGGTATACATTTCTGTTATTTTTAAACGCAAATCTGAATATTATATCTTAAAATAAAAAAAAAGAACAAATAGTTAGAAAACAGTAACAAAACCTATTTAACGAAACCTAGTGTAATATTTTACTAATTTTGATTCATATTTTATTGCTATTGATTCATGTTTTTAATATTACATTAATTTTAGGTTCAAAATTTTTTTGTTCAGTTTAAAAAAAAAATTTATGTCGTAGTATATAATAAAATACAACTGTTTACACAGACACAGTTTTTGAGCCATATTTCTAAGCAATTAACAAAAATGCTGGTTAAACGTTAATGTTTTAAAAATAACTGATTAAGTGTTGAAAAAATTTAAAATGCACTAAATATTATGTTGCATTAATAGTTTGAGTTGAAACCGTTGTTTGAAACTTCTATTGCTTATGAAATAGGGCTGTAAATCAATAATAAATTGCGAATCTTTATGTTTATTTGTGAATGTTAAGTTTTACACGCTGCTTGTGTTAGGCCGTAATTTTGATTACAATATTGAAGCAGGCTGCAAAATGATAAAAATCACAGATTTAAGACAATAAAAATCATTTGTTGCATTTTATTTAATATTTAAGAAGTTGAGATGTTAGCATTTAAATAATTGAAGTAATAAAAATATGCAGTTATTGATAATGAGATTATTGATTTTGATAGATTTCATATTGCTGGATTATTACCAAATAGATTTTTTTTTAAAAAGAATTTTACTTTATTTTTTTTAAATATTTGCTCATATTATATGCAGCTTAAACTGAAATCTTTGATTTAAGACACTCTAAAAACATATCTCAAAATTTAATAAATAAAAAGCATAGGGTGCAAGGAAATTTTAACAAAATCTAAAAAAACTGTGAATAACACTGTGAATAACCTTTGATCTAATGATCGGATCTTCTCATTCTAGGAATCAATATTAATCATTTGAAGGAGTTACCTCAAATATGTTATTTAATTAATGCGGACAACATTTATATTTACAAACTCAGGCGCAAAAAAACCTACTTTCTCTGAATCACCCAGAATATGAGTCCCAAAATACAAAGGGTAGCTGCAATTTCAGAAATATGGTCCAAATAGTTTGGTCAGAAAAGTGGACTTCAGTTTTGACCCCTTAAATTAATTTCACTTTTTACAAATTTCGCCATATCCTAAATAACTTTTTATGTGAATTTAAAAATACATTTTTGCACACAATTAAAACATTTGTTGATCTAAAGATAATTCTATGAAAAAAACTCCTTTTAGTAAATATTTCTCATTTGTTAATATTTTACTTAATAATAATCGAAACAATTTCGAAGTGTAATGTATACAATTTTTACATAATTTGGAGTGAAATCGGACAAATTGTTCCCGAGAAATTATAAAGACGAAATCATGCATTCAAATTTCAATTTTTCAAGAAATATTGATATTCAGGGAACTAAAAGCTACTCAAGGTGATCAATTATTTCCCGCACAGTGCAACAATGCACAATTTTTATAAAATTACTGAAAATAGGAGTTTTTCTTAAATAAATCTCATTTGTTAGTATTTTATTTAATAATAGTCGAAACAATTTTGAACTGTAATGTATACAATTTTTTATATAAATTGAGTGAAATCGGACAAATTGTTCCCGAGAAACGGAATTATAAAGGAAAAATCAAGAATTTAAAATTAGATTTCTCAGGAACTATTTGCTATTCAGGGAACTAAAAGCTACTCAAGGTGATTAATTATTTCCCGCACAGAGCAACAATGCACAATTTTTATGAAATCACTGAAAAGAAGAATTTTTCCTAAATAATTCTCATTTGTTAACATTTTGTTTAATAATAGTCGAAACAATTTAGAACTGCAATGTATAAAATTTTTTATATAATTTGAGTGAAATCGAACAAATTGTTTCCGAGAAACGGAATTATAAAGGAAAAATCATGAATTTAAAATTCGATTTCTCAGGAACTATTTGTTATTCAGGGAACTAAAAGCTACTCAAGGTGATTAATTATTTCCCGCACAGAGCAACAATGCACAATTTTTATGAAATTACTGAAAACAAGAATTTTTCTTAAATAAACTGCAGTAAAAGTTATTGAAATAGAAACTATTTATAGGGTATATTGCGAAAATCTTCAAACATTATTCAAGTAAACTTTATTCACCATTCTATTTTAAAATATCGCTTTTTAATAAGAATTAAACAATTTAAATTGTATAAAAACATGTGTAGGGATTGATTGTTTCAGCGTGTTTCTGACTCAAGGATTCTTCAGTTAGCACCTACAGTAGAGCACCAGGCACAAGTAATGCTCAGTATACTCCGAAGATATTCTTGGCATACTTTTGCCGTCGTAACATCCCGCATTGGTGGCCATGACAACTTTATTCGAGCAATCAGAGATCTCACGCAACGAGGATATATAAAGGACTTCAAGTAATTTATTGTATATTATTTGAATTTTATATTGTTAATTTATTTCCCATTTCAAAAATTTATATTCTTAATACGCGTGTCCAATTAATAAAATACCAGCGTTAACCTCATATGGGTATGGGTACGAAAAGATGTTAATTTTTCTTTTTCAATCAAGCATTACAAAGCATGTGGAGGACCAAGTAATTAAAAAAACATTTTAACTCCGTAATAAATAAAAAAAATATTTTATCTTTGAAAATATAGCAATGATACAAACTTGGAAATTTGTAGTATATATTAAATATATCTATCTTATAATACAAAATATATATAGTTGGTAATTGTGTATGATAAAATACTTATTGCAATATTTTCCAAAAAATAATTTTGTCTTATCTGCTTTTTTAAATTTTTTGTTAGACTTTATAGTTGCTAAGATAATTTTTTAAGCATTTACGTAGTTATTTTTTTAATTTGAATGCAATTAATTACTGAGAATTAATTTTTTGAGAATTAATTGTCTTATACCATACAAAATAAAACGAAATTTTGACTTAAATTTAGGTAAAGACACAGTATTCTACTTAACACGTAATAATAATTATTAAATCTGTTTGACATATAACGTTTGTTTACTATTCAAAAAATAACTTTTACTTTGTTTCAGTCTACTTTAATTAAGAAAAGGGTGGAATATATTAAATATGAACAAAAAGTATGCAGTTTTTATTTGTATTTTATTTGTAGTTTTAAAATCTTAAAAGTAATGATCTTTTTGCTATCTTATCAATTTTCTCAGAGATTCGGGTAACAAAAAATATTTCAACAAAATAAATTTTTCAAACCAACTTAACTAATTGATTAATAATAAATGTATACATATATGGTGAAATAACTAATGTGTTATTTCGTAGCAAGACTCACTTATTCATGTGAGCGCATTAGACCCGAATTGTTGTAATTTAGACTCTCTCTCATTCATATACTTATTTTTGTTGTATATTTTAGATTCGACATCTTAAATATTGTTACACTGAAGTCTGAACATAGAGAAGGTTACGTCAGTGAGTTGGAAGATGTAGCTGATTCCGAAGCAAGAATATTTTTATTATTTGCAACAAGAGAGGAAGCAGGAGAAATAATGTTAGCAGCGAAAGATTTAGGAATCACCGGAAAGAATTACGTGTGGATTGCATCTCAATCTGTTGTAGGAACTGAAATTGAAGTTAAAAAAGATCAATTTCCCACGGGAATGTTAGGTGAGATAAATCTTGAGGAAAACTTAAAAATGTCAAAAATTTTATTCGTCTTACTTTTTTTAGGTGTTACAAATTCCAAACTTATCCAATACCCAAAACAAATATAGCTCTTGAATATAATTAAAAAAATAAAAATTCGAAATTACATCCTTCTTTTTAGAAAGATAGGGGTTCAGTTTTAGATTAGAAAGTGAAATTCTAATACCCAAAAAATGACCGAAGTTTCAAAACTTTTTTATTGCTTATTATAAAACTTAAAACTATTTCAAACGCACTGAAAAAAATTCATCTCTCTATCTACAGTTTTAAAAAAGTTATGAATGATTTTAGATTATCTTAATATAGAAACTTGCACAGCAGATAGACTTTAGAGCGCTTTTTCTCATAGTTGATAATTTTGTGTTTTAATCTTATTTAAATCCCTAAGGAATTTTTTCGATTTAATATAAAGCTTTGAAGTAAAGTTTTTATCTTAAGTATAATATACTTATTTAAACTGCATATGGAATAAGCATTTTATGAGGCATTACAATTTTTACAGCATGTTATATATACCTAACAGGAATTTTTAACCTATTTTTTTCTACATTTTTACAAAATAATCTATCAAAATTATTCTAATTAATATATCAACAAATGAATATACAAAATTGTCATGATGAATATTGCAGGAACTAAGGGAATTTTTTTTTGAAAATACTATATTGAAATAAAAAAACCTTAGGAATTTAAAAATTTTGAATTTTTTCAACTTTTTTTTAATTTAAAAAAAAAAATAATTCGAAGATAAACTTTTCGAAGATAAACTATTGATTATAAGTTAAATGAGCATGTAAAGCATCCACAAAATGAATGATTATACCTTTATTTTAAAAAAATGATGCAAAGGTACTGTGACTCCTTAAAAAAGATGAGTTTCCTTATGGAATGTTACATAATATCTGAAAGTGATGACAAATTTATTCGTTTCGCTATTACAGTTAATTTAATCTAAAAATCAAATTCGCAAACAAAAATGACTTTCTAATATAACAAAAGAAGTAGAAATCTAACATTACATTATTGACAAGTTTATGCGTTTTGATATTTGAGTAATGTTAATTCAAAATTTGATTTAAATTTAAATTTAACTTCAAAAGAAAATTTGCTTAAGAATATTTTATTGGGAAAATAATAGTCTAAAATAAATTTCTTGTTTGAAAAAAATAGGCCTTCAATTTTAGAATTGAAATCAATAGTAAAAAGGAGATGAGTTTCTTAATGGAATAATATACAAGATAATTATCTGAATTTAAGAAACAAGTGGTTAATAAATTTATTCATCTTGCTATTTTTTCTATTATATTTAAACTAAAAATCAAATTTTAAAATATCATTTCTGTTGAATACAATAAGAGAAATAAGAATTCAAATATCACACCTTTCATAGTTTGAAAAACAAACATTTATTTTTAGAATTGATGGTGAATGTAAAAAAGAAAAAGATCACTGAAATGCTGCGTAATATAAATATTTTAAAGCAAAATATAAATTGTAAACAATTTTACATGTTTGTTAGCATTTTAAATACAGAATAAAAGAAAATTCAAATCCTGAAATTAATTTCAAATTGAATTGAATTAAATTGAAATAAATAAAATTCATATTCTGAAATAAATGTATCATCAAAGAAATCAATTTGTGTTTAATGGAGTCGACTTCATAAGATTCATTAAATTTCTACCATTGTGTGGTAAAAAAAAAATCTTGTAAAAATGTAGGTTGTTACGTTTTATCCTCAAGATCAAGCACTTTTTATTATTGTAACGCGAACTCCTCAATAATTTAAATATTTTATTACATAGCAATTTGTACTGTAATGTAAAATTGTACTCTTTTTAAATTTGTCCATTCATCTTTATCGAACATTTTATCTTTTTTTATCTTACCAAATCTATTGCATTTTTTTAGTTAACTAAAATTGAATGTTATTTCATCATAAAAACATTACAGTATTAGAAAAAATACTTTTAGTAAACGAATTGTCTCTCAAAGCCGATTTCGATTTTTTTTTCGAAATTCAAAGATTATCTGCCGAAACAAAAAACGAAATAGGATGCTCTTGAGATTGTCCACAAAAAGGTCTCCTCCTATTTTCGTATTTGAAATTAGAAATCCCTCTCGATTTTGTAAACGGCAAACGGAATGAAAAGTTAATGCCTTTACTGTTGTCAATAGACACTTTTTTTGTGGGCAAAGCATTGTAAAGTAGGAATAAATTCGTTTAGCCTAGAATTCCTTAGACTTTATGTCTTTTAATGCTAGTTATTCCCTTTTTTTCTCTGAAATTTCATCAAAGATCGTTGAAAACAAGATTGATTGTAGCAAACACTTAGGCATTTTAAACTTATGTGCAAACTTAAATTTAAAGTTTTTGCAATCTCCTGTTTATATTCTTTAATACTTTATATTTGAACTATTCTAAAATGAGTTATTTAATTATTTAACCTCTGAATTATTTAAATATTTAACCTTTGAATTATTTAAATATTTAACCTTTGAATTATTTAAATACTTAACCTTTGAATTATTTAAATCATTTTACCATTCTTCCAATAATATTAGCTGTTAGAAGCATATAATCGTACTTTTATAACTTAATTGCACAATTATATGATTTAACTTTAAGTCAACGCCATATTAAAGAAACATAAAACTTGTACCTTATAACAATTTATGTACTTATATTAAGCATCAGTTTTTAACTGATTTCTTTAAAATTGTAATACAGTATACTTCAGATATTTTTGAAAGATCACCTTTCATAAGTTGTTTTTCAGCATGATTAATTAACAAAATATAAGCAAAGAGAGAGTTAATTAATTTGATTTTTTCAAACACTCAAATTTTGAATTAGCTTGTTATTAGCTTAAAAAGTAAATGAATTTACTTGTTGGCCAAATACTTAATGTTTCTGTGCTTCATTTGTTAGTTATTTATAATTCGTTCCATGAAAACCTCAACCAGAATACAATTTTACCAATATTATTTTTTTAAAGTAATATCTGTTACAAAGTATTCATTCTAATTCATGGTGTATCAAAATGATTGTAATTTTTAATACTTTACATTGCTAACTTTGCTAAAGGCTCTTTCTTTATTTTTTATTTATACATTTTTTTTTTGGTTGTTTGCCTGTTTAGGCAGTGGGGGTACCATTGCTCCTGTTTTTAGGTGGCGCCATCTATGGCCAGGAATTCGACTTTTGCCAAGCCACTCACACAACCGCAACCTGTTTACAGGGCGGGTCACATTCACACACAAAGGAGAAAGAACATAGAGCACACACCGAGAGAAAGAGATATTCATGCCTTGCCCGGGATTCGAACCCAAGACTTTCTGATGCAAAGACAGTTCCCTGCCCCCTACACAGGCCGGTCGGCGTAAAAGGCTCTAAGCACTATAAAAAAGAGTTTTTTAAACAAGAGCAAAAATATGTCGAAATAATATAATCTAACTTATAAATAATATAATATAATCCGAAAATAATACAATCTAACTAAAAAACCTATATGTTCAAATTTGAAACAACGCTAAAAATTGATGTGCAGGAAGAAATGTGGGACAAAAATGCTCATTTGATGCTGGCAGGATTTGAATCTAGGACTTCCAGAATCATAATTGGACGTTCTTACTACAATAATAACACAGCATCCCAGTTCAGGGAGAGTTAGGAAGCTTTATCTGGTGGTCACAGTGTTGCATAATGACGTACATTCCATTCGCTGAAAAAATTTTAAGATCTAGTGAAATAAGCAAAAATTAAATTTGAATTATAGATCTCCTGACGAAACAATCAGGTCCATATTTTCTAGATTACTATCCTTTGTAGTATTGAAATTAAAAACTGGATTGCGGTGGCACTAAATAAATCTTTCTATCTCTCCCTGGATTGAAGTGAAAACTATGGTGTTAGAACATCCTATTACGAACCGGAGGTCTTTGGTTCGCATTTTGCTGGCTGCAAAAAACTTCTCTCTCACACAATTCTCCATCCACTCCCCTTTTGAGACTATGATTTATGCTTAAAAATGAGTATATGCTGTTTCAATTTTAAATTTATGGGGTTTTCAAATTCGAATATATTTGTCTCAATGCTATTTTGAGAAATATTTTTTTACGGTATGTATGTTTAAAATTTTCTTATTTAATTTAGTATAACTATGCGAAAAAAATTAGAACACTTTTAATTCAATTAGAGGGTTGAATGAAAGAGACTAAATAAATAAAGAAGTCTTTAATAATGGAGGCTACATCAAAACATTTAATGGGCAGAATTTAAAATTCACATGCTAATATTTAAAAACTTAAATAGCTTTTATTATCGTATTATTTGGTTTGAATATGTAATTCTCTTTTTATTATTTTTAGCACGCTAAAAAGAGCGATAAAAATTTCACTATAGATTTTAGAAAATAATTTTTATTGCATTTAATTTCTAATTTTTTTTTAAAAAAAACTAAATTTCAGCTAAAATTTATCCCAAGAAAAACCAACACACGGTAATAGCCATTATATATTATATAAGCAATAGCATTCTTAAAACACTTTTTTTTTCTGCTCAAAAATTTCAAATTTCCTTCTTTTTCGAAACAAATGCACACACATTTTAGAGTACACTAATCTAACCAGTTCTTACAAATCTTAAAAAAAATTCACAGAATTTTAAACATAAATTTTATAAAAATACGTCAAGTAAAATATTGCAGATATAATATGGAATTAAAAAATACAAGAACTCTTTAATATAATTATTATTATTTATTAAACGACTCTTTAAAATTTTTGAAACCAATATAACTTGCATAAAAAAAAATTCAATAATCAGTAGTATAATATTTTCCTCAAAACTACTTATGCGTTTAATAAAATTCTACTAACTGCACTTCTATTTCCTGGGTGACTGATATCTAACATGGAATTCCAGAATTTAATTCCATCCGTCAATTCTTTCTTCATTATCATATATCATTCTGTATTACGCGGTGAACTGAATCCCTCCAGCAATTCTTTCTTTCTGTCCAGGCATCTACATCAACGTAACGATGGAGAGATGCTACTTAGAGATGGAAAGGGCGGTCAATATATTTGCTTATGGCCTCGAGTCATTTTATCAAAGTCCAAGGGATGCTAACGTGAGCCTTTTTCCTGATCTCAGTTGTAATGGTAATGAACAACCAAGATGGAACAGAGGTGATGTCATATTCAGGTAATCACTTGTTGATATTCTATTATGTAAGCTTTCTAGTATTGGTTATATAAATTATATATGGAGATAAAGATGCAATAATTTGAGATAATGAATGTAATAATTTGAGATAATGAATGTAATAATTTGAGATAATGAATGTAATAATTTGAGATAATGAATGTAATAATTAAAAACTGGTGACTTGGATGGATTTCAACCTCAAAATATAATTTTTATACGAAATTCATTATAGATATTGGAGTTTAGGATGCAATCCGTGATCAATTTTCAGGCGTTTATAAAAAAGAGTATGCTGAGCTATCACCAATTGTTATTTTCTTTATAAAAAATATTAATTTAACTCAAAACCTTTTTTAGGAACTAAAATTATTTGTAAGTGTTAAAATAATTTTCTATACTAATGAAAAGAAGAAGTGTATAAACAAGGATTACAAACGCGCAGATTTAGTTGTACCCTGGTAGAAAAGTATTATAATACAAAATTATCTATTATAGATAATTTTACCATTATCTATTATAATACAAAATATCATTAAGGGATGAACTCTGATTATTTTTTATTCAAACGTCATTGAACAGCCGACCCGATTTCGACTACCAACGACTACCAACGTTGGTAGTTTACGACTACCAACGTTGGTAGTTTACGACTACCAACGTTCGACTTCGTTGCCGTGTGCATTTAAACCTAATCCAGAAAGTAAGGGAACCAGTGTCGTGAGATATTTACCTTCGTGGAGGTCTTTTTGATAGAACTAAAGCGAATTTACGTTACATTGAGAGAAAAAGCACGAAAACCTCCCACGGCTAGTCTGACGGAAAGGAGATTCTAACCAAAAACCCACTTACCACTGATGATAGTTTATGTCGATGATCGATGTGAGCCGAGGGCGGAATTTGCATCGACTAACTATCGGTGGGATTTGAACCAGGGGCACATCATTGGGAGGCGAGCCCTTAATCCCCTGAGCCACCACGGCTAACTAAGTTTTATTTTATTTATAATTTTAATCTTTATAGTTTTAGAGTATGTAGGAGTAAAGGCATATAAGGAACATATAGGTTTATGTACAAACATATAGACTTCTCTGTTCCATTCAAAATAACACTTAATACATCCTACGAATTGCATCCTAAGCTGAAACATGATATAGTGATGGCATCTATTATTCATTCGAATGATTTCTTAAAAATCTTAGTTTGGAATATATATTATTAAATTACATAAACTGTAGCTTTTACAGAGAAACCAGATGCAGATTTAAAATCAGGGGCACGAAATTATCCATATAATTCATTAATAATCAATAATGATATTTATTTTATAGGCATATGAGAGATGTAAACATTCAGTACAGAATACAGGGCAGGCCAATTTCGTTCAACTTAGATGGGACTCTAAAAGATGTGGAGATACATGTTATGAACCTTAATCAAAATGGATGGGAACGGGTAAATTTAATATTTTTATTAACTATGTCATCATTAATATTATCATAAAAAGGCATACATTTGAGTTTTACCAGTTAAACGTTTCTTCACAATAGTATATTCATACATTTAACTTATGATTAACTAACAATTTAAAACTAAAACACTTTTTCTGACATTTGGTAAATAATATAAAAATAAACAATGATAGATTAGTCTTAGGACAAACACTTTATTTTCATTTTTAATTGGTTGGCATAAAAAGGTTGTCTAATTATAAATTTTTTTAAAATTAAGACATGCGATTAAAGCATACAGAAGAACTTTACAAAAACATATAATTTTTCTTAGATTTTACACCAACCGTATTTTTGTCTTTATTTTATTCTAGTTTTGTCCACGCTATCAAATACAACATTTTGATTTCGATTAAAACTTAATGATCATTTATACAAAACGATGCAAAAAAAATTGTGTATGTTATATTAAGAACTATACAGGTTGCTTATAATTAATGCTGCTTATAATTAATCTCTGCTTAATCTCTGCCCCAACTGCGTATAATTAATCTCTTCACATTAGAATGACAGCAGATTTAGCTATGGAAATAGTGTATTATTGCAATAAAATGAATATTTACTTAACAATAGAGCTACTTAAGGCGCCACCTTGTGGAAAACATCAAAATGAGTGTTTATTTCTAAAAAACTATACAAAGTATAGGTAAAAAAATTGTAACAAATAGACGTTTAACCTCATTAAATCATAGAAAGACATTTAAGAGACGAACATTTACAAATCGTATTTATTTGCTTAAGAGTTTCAATACTTTTACGAAATGATCGCAAGAAAAAGAACAACTACTTTTTATAATATAGCATTTTTTAATTCCACCAAATTCCAAAATTTAATATTCTCATTAAAAATCCTAAATAATTCCAAAATTGAAATTTTTTCCACTCTTTGAATTATTTTCAAACCTACCAAATATATAGTTTTTATACAATTTCTTAAAAATTTTATTTTAATAAGATTTTTATTTCATTCCCAAAGATAGGTTTGTGGGAAGGCAATAAATTAGATATAAAAGACATCGTATGGCCAGGAAACAGTCCAGTTCCTCCACCAGGAGTACCTGAAAAATTCAATTTGAAGATTACTTTTCTAAAGGAACCACCCTATGTCAACTTGCTTCCTCCTGACAATGAAACTGGAGAATGCAAAACTAGCAGATCTGTCAGATGTAGAGTCGCACCGGAACATAAATTAGTTGGGTAAGTAATTCTTTCTACAATGTATAATAATGATGGTGAAATATGTAACTAATGGTTTTAACGTATTGAGATATTTTTATCTTTTATTTTGTAACCAGCCATCCGATTTTTTGGGTTTACGACTACTAGTGTTCAACAACGTAGCCTTTTTAAAAAAAATGGAGACCAAAGAACATCTAAAATGGTTCGAAGCCAACAAAATATTTCTACACAGTGAAGTTCTAAATTCGGAACGTTATGAAGATTCGGTGCATTGAAAGGGTGTCCAAGCAAATGTGGCAAATCTTAAATGAAGCAATAATTTGAAAATAAGGATGCGAGGCAATGAAAATTTTATTTTCATAATCAAAACACTATTACTATACTATGCAAGACTGGAAAATTTTATTTTCATAATAAAAACACTATTACTATACTATGCGAGAAAGGAAAATTTTATTTTCATAATAAAAACACTATGTTTATACTTTACTTAGCGAAAACTGATATCAAACGTAAATAATGTCCTCCTGCACTTTTGGCTGATTTACAGCAAAGTTATGCCAAAGATCATTGATATGATTAACATTCAGTAAGCAAGAAATCAATCAATATCAAATCAATTTTTAAATTCAAATATAAGTATCAAATCAATTTTTATTGTACCAATCCATTTAAGGGGGTTATGAAAATCCTTTTTATATGGTAGCTATATCATAACTGCACATTGGCGTTTTAGTATGAATTAAATATATTAATATAATACTTTTTCCCATATTAGTATGCTTAATACTCATTAAAATTGCTCGAATTATCATAATATGTAAGTGCCCATTACGCAAAATAATCAAGCATCATTGGCGTTAATGAGCGTTTCTCAACCATTCAGTATTCGCGGCCCAGTTTTCAATCATAATTTTCATCGCTCCCCCCACTTACAGTAAAATGTATACAACAATAATGTATATTGAGTATTTTGAATTCTGTCTTTAAATTATTTTTAACTAACTGCCAAAATAAAAGTAGAGCCAGCAGCAATTTAGGTTGTAAAAACTATGTTTGGAGTTAATTTTTCAAAACAATTACAGTCCATACCTCTTTCAAATGATAATGTTGCTCGTTGAATTGGTGATACAGCTGAAAATGTAGTGTCAGCTTTTCTCGATGTTGCGTGACAAAATGTTTTCAATACAGTTTGATAAAGCAACAGAAATTAATAAAGATGCTCATTTAATTGCCTATGTTTGATTTTGTGATAATATGTCAGTAATATAACTACTTTTCTACAAATCAATAGAACTCAAAACAACAGAGCTAGCATTATTTGCTATTTTAAATGATGTTATGAATGAGGCAAACAGAGAATGCAAAAATTGCATCGGAATATGCACCGACGGTGCTCGTTCAATATCCGGAAGGTTCGAAAGTATACAAGCACTTGTAAAACAAAAATCGCCTCAATGCGTCTGGACACATTGCATGATCCACAGAGAAGCTTTGTCTTCGAAGGAAATGCGTCCTGGTTTAAATATTAAGTTAACTACGGTTGTAACCGTTGCAAATTTTATAAAAATGAGAACCCTGAGATCGAGAATCTTTTCCGCTCTTTGTAATGTCATGGGTTCAGTACATTCAGGGTTACTATTTAAATGCGAGGCAAGATGTTTATCAAGTGAGAAATTTTTGCAACGTGTTTATGAATTAAGAGAAGAAATCGCAATTTTCCTAGAAGAAGATAACAGACCGGAAACCGAGAATTTTCCCTTTGTTAATTTGTGATGATATTGAGCTACTTGGTCGTCATATTCGGGAAATTAATTAACTTGAATCTTCAACTCCAAGGAGCAAATACACATATGTTGGATACAAGTGATAAAGTTAATGCTTTTTGTACAAAATTGAAATTGTGGGGCAGAAATTTAAAGCAAAACAACTTAACAATGTTTGCAAATGTGGATAATTGTACTATAACTTATAAGACTGAAGAAGAACACGTAAAAGTTGTCTTTGTAAGCATTGAAAATCATTTAGCCATGCTGGCAAGGAATTTTAAAAAGTATTTTCCTTCTGACCACAAACTGATAGGAAGTTACGAGTGGGTTAAGAATCCATTTCATAAGACTCCCGAAGGATTCTCAATTGATGAGGATTAAAAATTCATAGAGTTCACGACAAGTGGCGAAACCAAAATACAATTTAGTAAAAAATTACTATTTGAATCTTGGGCAGGAGGATGATTTTTCTGCACTAAAAACAAGAGCATTTCGCATTCTATTACCATTTTCAACTTCCTACCCTTGTGAAACTGGATTTTCTGCTGTGACTTCTTTGAAGACAAAATATTGATCACGTCTAAATATAAAAACAGAACTGAGAGCGGCTATTTCTAATATTAAGCCTCACCTTAAAAAACTTTGCTCTTCAAGACAAGCCCAATGAAGTCACTAAAAATTATTATTATTTTTTTAAAATTTAGTAAGTTTTGATTAAGTAAGGTGGGTAAGTCAAAGCTGGCCAGTGTTCCTAACGTAGACCACCCCTCAAAGAAATTTATTTTGAATCATAAGATGTTCCTGCTGCATTGTAAATCTTGTATCTGAGGTGCACGAGGCTGAATTGGAAGATATTTCCTTGAATGGCATCCATTGTATGAAGTGATTTAATTTTTTGCAGTTGTTCTAATTTCCGGGTAAGAAGATATTGTAATTTATATGTGTTTAAATTCTGAAAACTTTGAGTTTTGATATGTTTTCTGAAAGTTTAATTCTGTTTCTTTAACCACATTACTTTAATTCGAATTAATCTATCAGATCAATAGTTTTAAGTCGCGCAAATGGTGAGAGAGACCATATGCCAAGGTGACCCGACACTGGTGCCACCTTCGTCGGCCACCTTCGGAAACAAACGTGAAATCTATAAAAGAGTTAATTATAAATCATTAAGTAGCATATTATTTCTGAAAAAGGAATAATTGAATTGAATGCCAACTGATTTATTTCATTTTAAGCAAGCGTGGAACTTTGGTATTTTTTAAATTTTTATAATATTTTGACGTTCTCTGCGCTTTAGTAGAGTTTGGCGATATTTTACTTCAAGTTTTTTGTATTGTTTGCATTTTAAAGTAATTTTTCAGGTATTTTTTTATTTTTGTGGTAGTTATGAGTGTTTTTGTGGTCGATTCTGGTATTTTCTTGTAAATTTGGGTATTTTTATACTAGTTATGGGTTAGGTTAGTTAACTCTAGTATGGTTATTTAGCTCTAGTTAATTAATCCTTTTAAAAAAATTAACTCATTAATTCTTGAATTATTCTAATGAGTTAGTTCAAAAGAATCGTTAGTGACTTCACACAAGAACTATCATAGTAAAATCAATAAACAAATTATACACTCTAAAAACAAATATCTTTTTAAAGTCGGGAAACTTGTTTCTACCAGCAAGACACTCAAAGTGCCTTTTTGAAAGACGTTTGCCAGTCTAAATGTTTTTTTCTAAAGATAATTTGAGTAAGTGAAAAAGTGATTTCAATGTACGGCTCACCTTTGGAACTTGTAGAAAACTTTAGGCGCAGAAGCTACAATTTTGAAATTGTACTATAAAATAAATAACATTTTATTTTACAATTAAAAGTATACGTGGTTTATATTAGAGATAGGTGTAAGATGTTATAGAAAAAAATTCAGAAATTTTAAAAATTCTGAAAATTAAGAAAAAAATTCAGCCACACAGACTTAATCCGAAAATTAGGAAAAATCCTCAAAGCAAAGACACCCTTTTCTCCTCACCTTAAGTTTTGATTTAATAAGTTGTTTTACTTTAATAAGTTATCAAATATATCGAAATGTATTTTGTTTTCTATGTGTATGTGCGCTTTCCTTTCATCCAGTTAATCAATTTTTTTAAATAATATTTTCTCTTGAATATTCTCACGCCACCCCTGTAGTGTGCTCTCGCCCCCCTAGGGGGGCGCGCCCCACAGGCTGAGAATCGCTGGCGTTAATAATAATATGACGATGTTATATGTTTTTCGTATTTAAATTAGTGCCCTTTCTCTATTAGTTTTACTTTTTGATATGTAGCTTTTTTTTATTTTAGCTAGTATATATTACCAAGTTCTATTCCATGATATATAAAATTTATCATTTGTTTGTTTTAGTTTAAAAAGTTACCGAATCATTGGCAAAATATCATTAGTGCCTATTACCCAAATTATTTAAGCATCATTGTCGTCAATAATTGTATGCCAATTTTCTTATGTTTGTATTTATAGAATTAGTACCATATCTCTAAGAGTTTCACTTTCTAGTACATAGCTTATTTTTTTTATTTCAATTAATATCTGATCTTCATTTATTTATATATCTTCAATTTGAAAGTTCCGTTATTAGTTTAAAACTATGCATAATATGCTAGTGAATAAAATGATATTTTAACAACTTATTTAAATAAAGTTTATACGGCATAACACACTGTATGTTAATTACTTATTTTTAATACAAATATATATATTTCTTATTTCCCAATCTAATTTTAGTCACAAGTTATGTGATAATTTAAAAAATATTAAAATAAGAAAAAAATGAACTGTAGTTCAAATAGAATTACATAATTTTCAAATTTATTCTTTGTGCTTCTCTTTTCCATTTATCCGTGTTTAAAATTTCCACTCCGTGATATTTCGTGAATCTCTTTCTTGACGAAAATAGGACAATTGAAGCAAAAGCGTTTACTCTAATTCCTTTTACTCCCAATCACCGTTTATCATTAATCCCAAAAAAATATTCATATTTTTTTTTTAAAAAAATATGATAATGTGATTAAAATAAAATAAAAAAATTAGAAACACAAACAACGTCCCTTCAACATTCCATATTTTAATGGGCCTTCACAAAAGTTATTTTGAAAACATTTCTACTTTTTTTTTCTCAGTTTAAAAACATTCAATAAAAAACAACCATTCTATAGATTTCACTTTTTCCCAACATACTACTTTCATACTTCATACTATGGGAGCATAAAATC